ACACCACTGTATATATATATATATATATATATATATATATATCACTGTTTCCAAAAAATATTAAGTAGCATAACTGTTTTTAACATTGATAATGAGAAATGTTTCTTGAGCTGCAAATCAGGATGCTACACTGATGACTGGAGTAATGGCTACTGAAAATTCAGCTTTTCCATCAAATTAATATATTATTTTAAAATATAGTTGTCCCTTCTTTCCCATTAAAACTCTGATGGAAACAATTTTTTGCAAAAATGTCTCATGCTTTTTTTATTTTTCAGAAATTAACCAGGGTGGATGCGGAGACCCTGGAATCCAAGCCTATGGCAAGAGGGAAGGCATAGGCTTCCGACATGGAGACAAGCTATATTTTGAGTGCCTTCCAGCCTTTGAGCTGGTAGGAAAAAAGAACATTACCTGCCAGAAAAATAATCAGTGGTCAGCCAAGAAGCCAAGCTGTGTGTGTAAGTGACAGATCTTACCCAAAATGCATTACTTTCCACACCCACATGATCACACCTGGGAGGATATAGTGCACCATTATTATTGTCTTTAGCACAGTATGGCCCCACCGATACATCCTCTCATCAGCTGAGCCATTAAATCATTAACTATAACTCAAGTTAAAGCCACAGCGACAGTTCATTTAACACATTTAGTTGCTTTATTTACTTTATCAGGGTCTTATAATGAAGTTGACTAATTTTAACTGAATTGAAAAACTGCGTATTTGAGAAGCAGGAAAATATAAAGAGACATATTTGTAAAAATGCAGTCAGTTGATTTTCTTGTTTGCTACCGCTAAGTAGAGAAAGGTTTTTGTGGCATTTAAATGTTTGAATTGAGTGTCATAACATACAATGTTTTTGGCAGTTAATGCTTGTCCAACTTGTTTTGATATTATTGTTCTTTCTCTATTATTTGGATTCATGTATACCATCAATTTGCCCCAGACTATAGTCATTTTTCACTATAATGGCTACCATCCTATTACATCAGTGGAATTGCAGTTGACTCACAACTTTGTTTTCTGCTATTTTATGACATTATTATTAGCTCAGACAGCAAAGTCATTCATATGAGGTGGAGTCATAACGATTCGTCTTCAGTCCACCACTGAGCTCATTTTCATTCTCCCCATGGCTATTTAGTGATGCTTATTGCCCTCTCAGCTTTGTCCCAAATCCTGAAAATGAGTTAATGCCTGCGGATATTCCCCCGGAGATAAACATTCTCTTTCTCTGCAGCATCTTCAGTCTGATTATCTTCTACAATAGGCGAGATCATAGCGTACTTGTACACATACACCTAATATTTTTATTCACTATTATTTTAGCCACCCACTTGATGCACTTTGAGGGATACATGAGTAAGAAAAAAAGTATAAAAGGAGGGGATTCAAGTTCAGTATTCCATTAGTCCTGCCCCAAAGTCACACCATTTGTTGAGCCAGTGTCGCTGTGTCTGGTTCAACAAATTAATAAATGTTTTGATAGATAAATGTTTCTATAAAGCCACAGTGTTTACACTTCTCAGGGAGTCAGCTCACAAATTGCTTCTGGTTGTCCTGGCACATAATTCTGGGAGCATGTTATCGTCAAATTTCACAAATCATCCTTAGGAAAACCTAGTAACAAAAAACGAGACATACACTCTTAAAAATAGAGGTTCTTTAATGGCATCCATGGTTCCATGAAGAATCATTAACATCCATAGAACATTCTGTTGCACAAAATGTTCTTTATAGTGGAAAAAGGTTATTTAGATCATTAATATGTCCTTCTTTTAAGAACTATTGACTGAAAGGCTCTTTGAAGAACCAAAAATGGTTCTTCTATGGCATCACTGTGAAAACCCCCTTTTGTAACCTTTATTTTTAAGAGTGTATATGAGCAAGAAAGTGACCATTTCATAAAATGTCTGTTGTCAAGGTCTGAGAGGTCTTATAAGTTGTAGTTACAGATGCTGCTATCACACTGTGCACATCCTACAAGCTGTAATTTTTCACCCCCTGTCTTGCTGTATTGTTTAAGCAACAACAAATTACCTCCCTATGCATTGTGAATTGATTTTAGCTTCAGTGGCAGTTTTAATCTCGAGTTCGCCTCACAGTTTGACGCACGATGCCTCCTGTGTTTAACTGTTGCTTGTTTTATCTCTTTGTCCTTTTCTCAGTTTCGTGTTTCTTCAACTTCACAACTCCATCTGGAGTCCTGCTATCACCAAACTACCCTCAGGAGTACGGAAACAATATGCACTGCGTGTGGCTGATCATCGCCAAACCCGAGAGCCGCATCAACATGGCCTTTAACGACCTGAGCATGGAGAAACAGTTTGACTTCCTGTCCATTAAAGATGGCGGCAAGGCAGAGTCACCAATTCTGGGCACCTTTTCTGGAGATGTGCTGCCATCACCCATCACTACCAGCGGCCACGTGGCCAGGCTGGAGTTTCTGACTGATCATACATACACAGAACGTGGCTTCAACATCACTTTCACCAGTACGTTTTAAAGACAGCTCTAGATTCATGACTTTTTATTTTCTGTGGTAAAAATGAATAATGAATTCAAGTTATTTTGGGCAGACCTGTTCATACTTTTAAGTCTAACGTCACATTGAAGTTAGAGACCAAAAAGTCAATGTATAATAGATAACAATAGCGTTCAGATGTTTTGTCAGTGGTAGCATGCACCAAATTTGAAAAGTTTCTGGGAGTTAAAAGAGCTCAGAAGTTTTCTTGTTATATGAGACAGATTAAGAAAGTTTTTATTTCCCCTTTGGAGAGAATTGTCTGTACAATTCACGACTGAATATCTGTCGTCCTTCAGTAATCACTATATATGGGGCATAGCGTATGTCAGCAGAGTTGATAGATACTTGAGTATCCATGTGAGGAAGAATAACATGAGCCACAGATTTAATTAGAATTTATTTCCAAATACATATGTAATTAAATAAAGCCACAGTTAATTGAAGCTGTCTGGAGGTGATCCCATGTGGTTTGACTCCCCATGCGGTATGTTTTTGGGGGAGTGAGAGGGATGCTCCAATCATTCATGTTAATTAAAGAGATGACAAACTCCATCGAAGGGCTTGTTGGCATATGATGGTGATGGATTACATGCAAAATTGTTGGGTTTGAGACCCATTTTGAGTCATCAAGTTTATTATGAGGAAGGAATTCATGTCCAGTGCGTGAGGGGAAACACAATAAGAGCTTTTAAAAAGGTTAGCTTTACATTGAAAGTGACTTACCATATATGTATTTGGAATGGTATTTTTTTTGCATTCCTTGACCTTGGCACATTTAGTGTGATGCTGTACCAGGAATTAACAGATTTTCTGGAGAGATTTTGTCTGCTGGTAATACGTCTTCTCTGAAGTCCTGTCGATGGGTACTGAGTAGCTCCAAGCTTCCCACTGAAGCAAGAAACTTAGGGAGGCACATAAATCAATATTTTGTTCTAACTAAAATGAATTAGTGTAGTTATACAGCCAAAATGATGAGCCGTAAAGGCTACAGTTCAGTGGCCATATTGAAAACTCCCTCTTTAATTTATATGGGGCCTTGTAGAAGTTGTCCATTCATGAAAACAAACTGTATTTTCTTTCTTTTTGTCTTAGCAAAATGTAAGTAATAATTTTTTTTAGCAAAATGAAGTATATACAATATATATGTATGTATGTATGTATGTACAGTATGTATATATACACTACCGTTCAAAAGTTTCGGATCAGTAAGACTTGTAATGTTTTTAAAATAAGTCTCTTATGCTCATCAAGGCTGCATTTATTTGATCAAAAATACAGAAAAAAAACTGTAATTTTGAAGCATTTTATTACAATATTGGGGGGGCCCAAACACAATGAAGAGATATATAATATTTTTGTTATACTATAGGATATCTACAACAGTAAAAGAACCAAAGAACCAAAACCCCAAAAGACATTGAGCAAATAAATATAACAAACAATAGGGTAAAAATGAAAAACTATTTCCATGTCTTCAACCTTTTTTATGCACGGAAATCACGCTATCTTTCTCCCGTTCTCTCTCACAGACGCACACACAGTACAGACACGCACTCGCACACACACGCGGACAGAAACTTGTCATCAGTGCTGCCCCGTGAATTTATCAATAAAATAGTTTAGCAGCTGAAAAGCTACATGACATTTCTCAGTAGCGAGGTTCTTGAAGCAGTTCAATTTAAAGATTAGCTATTAGTAGACGCTGCTGCTGAAAACTGCTGAGAGATGCACAGACGCAGGTATTCATATGCGCTTAATCTCTCCCTCTCTCTCTTTCACTCTCTCTCTCTCTAATAACTGCGTTAGACTGCATTAATAACTGTGTTAGCCTGCACATCAATGGCTCAAGCCTCTGTTATTAGCTCTAAAATTACAGTTTGGAATTTGCAACGGAAGGTTTGGGATGAGCTGCGTAAAAAATTAGCTAGTTCAACACGCGCGAGATTTCAGGACAGAAACATGTTAAATAGCTTGAAACAAATCATCTGAACAACTGATGTGTGATTGTGACTCTAGGCTGTTAAAATTATTAGAGAAATAATGCACTCCCGAAGTGGTTATGTGGCCACGTCGCCGCGCCTATTAATGGAATTGTCTTTCTCAGTTCTCAAACTTAATTAAGAACTACATTTGATTTTTATTGACTGAACGCAAGCACTTATTGCAATAGAAAATACTGTAACGGTTTCACTGATTAAGAAATATTTTTGTTTGCTTGTGTGGTAATATTAGGCCTATTATATTAATAGGGACGGGGGGCCCAAAAATATGTTTTGCCTATGGCACGAAAAGAGGTAAATAAAAAGTAAAAACCAGAAACATGTTGAAAACATGTTGGCCATTACTCCAGTCTAAAGTGTCACATGATCCTTAAGAAATCAATCTAATATGCTGATTTATTATTAGAATTATCAATGTTGGCAACAGTTGTGCAGCCAAATATTTTTTTATTTTTCTGGAAACTGCAATACTTTTTTCAGGATTCTTTGATGAATAAAAAGTAAAAAAGAACAGCATTTATTCAAAATATAAATCTTTTCTAACAATATAAATCTTTGCTATCACTTCTTAACAATTTAACACATCCTTGCTGAATAAAAGTTTAATTTTTTTTCAAAAAAATTAAGAATAAACATTTACTGACCCCAAACTTTTGAACGGTAGTGTATATTGTTAGAAAAGATTTATATTTTAAATCAATTCTCTTTTTTTTATTTAATTTAATTTTTTTTTTTTTACTTTTTATTCATCAAAGAATCCTGAAAAAAAGTATCACAGGCTCCAAAAAATATTAAGCAGCACAACAGTTTCCAGCACTGATAATATATCAGCATATTAGAATGATTTCTGAAGGATCATGTGACACTGAAGACTGGAGTAATGATGCTGAAAATTCAGCTTTGCATAACAGGAATAAATTAGATTTTAATGTATATTAAAATAGAAAAACTTTATTTTACATCATAATAATATTTCACAATATAATTTTTTTTCCTGTATTTTTGATCAAATAAATGCAGCTTTGATGAGCATAAGAAACTCCTTTAAAAAAAAAAAAACATTAAAAATCGTTCTGATCCCAAACTTTTGACCGGTAGTATACGGTATGTATACTGTATACACTTCAAATTGTATGGTTAAATATGATAAGTAAAGTCCTGTCGTTGCTGTGCCCAGCTTTTTGGCCTGTTAGGTAGAAGTTAGCATGCAGTTCTCTTCCATATTTCATATTCTTGCCTCATTGTTGTTGTTTTGTTTTTGTTTTTTTTTCCCCTGCAGCTTTCCGGCACAACGAGTGTCCCGACCCTGGCGTTCCAGTAAACGGAAAGCGCTTTGGTGAGAGTCTACAGCTTGGCAGCTCCATCTCTTTCCTGTGTGAAGAGGGGTTTATGAAGACCCACGGTTCTCAGACCATCTCCTGCATTCTCAAAGATGGAAATGTTGTGTGGGACAACGCTGTGCCACGTTGTGAAGGTCTGTCCTCTCTCTAATAAATAGATTTCATAATTAACAAGTTTGCTTGTAACAAAAACAAAATTATATACTCCAACTCTGTTTGCACTTTACTGAACTTTTAGAAAGTTTGTTCAGTTATTAAGTACTTTAAGTGCATTCGGAGACAGACTAAAATGTTGGTGCAACTGAAATGTCAGTGGAATAAAAAGTCATAATCTATACTTTTGGAATGTGCTCAAGAAGTATTAACTGTCTGAATTCTTACAGACGAAAAACACATCCTCTTTTTTTATGAAATGCATTGCTGTATACTACTAATCATTTGATGCCATTTATTGAGCAGTGCCTTTTATAGATGCCCTTCAGTACACTGTTAAAAGATGAGATCATCCACTTCAGCTGTTGAACACATGCAGCTTTTAGATTTAGCATTTTAGGAAAAAGACAGATTTTCTTTGTACATTAAATTTTTTTGACGGAAGGTTTATACGTTAAAGTGTATAGCCGGGCTGAAATTGTGGACTGTTTGAAGGAAATAGTTTGTGTGAGCACTCCTGCCATCTCTTCCTTGGTTTTCACTTTTATTTTGCTCTTTTCATCTGGTTTCTTTACATCTTTTTGGATTTCTGTGATTTACTGTTTATTTCTAGCATGTGAAAACCACAGAAAAAAAATAGCGTTGGCCTTAAAATTTGGTAATTAAAAAATTGTAATCTTTTTTTTGTTTGTCATCTGCTCTTGTTATTTAGCTCCATGTGGTGGAAACCTCAAGGCTTCTAGCGGCATCATTCTGTCCCCAGGCTGGCCTGAGCTTTATAAAGAGGCCCTCAATTGTGAGTGGATCATCGAGGCTCCGCCAGGATATCCTATTAAGATCATCTTTGACAAGTGCGTACAAGACTTCATTTTCTCTTTTTCTGAACTGTCATGTTGTTCTTAATAAGCCTCCCGGTTTCATTTTTCCCTCCTGTCTTTCATTCTACTGGTTATCATCATTTCATAAATAGGTCACTAGCGCACTGCAGATGTTCACTATAGACTTGGAATAAGAGTATCCGTCTATTCATTTCCCCAGCTATCACAAGGATTCATTCTGAATCAGTATACATATCTTTTACCTCTGCTTATATAGAATGGCTTTATCCACAGTCATATGTGATTGTTGAACATTTATTTAACAAAGACTTGTAGATCAAATGCCCTTTACCTGCTTTTTTTGTTTGTTTGTTTGTTTTTTTATTTTATTATTATTATTTTTGTGCGTTGTTATTTTTTTGCATTGTTTTGTTTTTGTTCTTTGTTTATTGTTTTTTGTTGCTCTGTGTGTTTTTATTTATTTATTTATTTATTTTACATTTTATTCATCATGCAGACTCTTTCATCCAAAGCAATTTACCAATGAGGAATTCAACAACAATTAATCTTTATTTGCTAATTAAAAATCTCAACGATGCAAGTTTTAAACAGACAGGTAGGTAGGTAGATAGGTAATTTATTTAATTAATTAATTAATTAATTGCCAGATTGCATTGTTTTGTGTCATTATACACAGAGCCCCTAAAATGATTTTGTGGCTCATTTGGGATCTCCACGCTCGAGTCTTCTAGGATGTTCTAGAATGTCATTGTATAGTAGCAGTAAAATTTGTCTTCAACGACAGTACTGAAATACCCAAACTTGTTAATCAGAAAGGGGTGTCTGTATACATTTTAGCGTATGGCACGATGATACCAGACAGATTGATGTAGTCTCATCCACCGATTCTCCTGCTACATAACTGTTGTGTGTCAGCGCTCTCCTTCTACTGGTCCCTGCGGTTTCTTTATTTATTGTATATGTGTGCGTGTTTAGTATGAATGTTTGCATCTACCATCTGTTGTTGTTGAGATTTATTTTATTTTATTTTTTTTAAAGGTGAGGCCGGTGGGACAGTTGATGTTTTGACTGTGAATACAGAAAGCATCAGGGCTTTAGTGAGCCGCTGCTGCAGGAAACTCAAACAACACACATTGCTTTGGTTTTCAGTGTGAATGATGTGGTATCTCTGTTCTAGCTGTAAATATGTGGTATCCTGCAGGAACACAGGCGAATAGGACTGTGATGAATCCATGTAGTCTCACTTTGTGGTGAAGCTGCCATGCTGATGCATAGCGCTGTTCTGATCCACAGGTTCCGGACAGAGGTTAACTACGATGTTCTCGAGGTACGGGACGGACGCTATCCTTCTTCCCCTCTGATTGGCAGTTACCAGGGTACACAGGTCCCTCAGTTCCTCATCAGCACATCCAGCTTCCTGTACCTGCTCTTCACCACCGACAAGAGTCACTCTGACATTGGCTTCCGTATCCGATATGAGAGTATGATGATCTACTATTGTATTTTTGATCTGAAAAGAGCCATTTTTTGTAACATATTTATTTTATGTTGTAATTTAAAGTCTGTTCAAAGAATGTTTACAACAGACCTTATGTTACTAATTAAATCGGCTACAGATTAAACGGCTTTATTATCATTATAATTTATTATTACAGTTACTCAATGATATTCAGTAGTCTTAAATAACATACTTGGTTACAGAATGCACATGGTAAAATATCACAAAACTATTAATTGCATTTTTTAAATGAAGAGACATGATAAGTGTGATTCATATTCAAAGTCTCCTACAATGCTTAGAATTTAGTCAAAGCATGCTAGTTAGATAAAGCTTGATATTATCTTCTCTCCAATGCATTTCATGGCTGCAATTACAAGGATCTGATAGCACAGATATCTGTGAATACTAGCTATGAAGGCATAGCTATAATTAATAGCCACATGCAGTGATTTTAATCAGGTCCTGTAATAATGATATAATAGGATGGTGATTATGTTGTGAGATGATTTCAGTCATGTGCAAACACATGACACAAGCAACATTGCAGTGTACATGCGTTCATATATGCGAGACTGCAGAATTAACTCTGTCAGCTCTGTTTTGTGAACTGAAAGGATGGCTGTTATGCTGGTATGACTCATGTTTGTTACCTTTTCTTGTTGTTTCTCTAAAAATCTCAATTCATCTTAAATTATTGAGTACATCAACTCAAGCAGAAAGTGCTGTCGAAGAATTGGTATTACTTCTGTCTACAAGAATAATAATTTTTGAATGATCTGAATAAGCAAAACATTCCATAAACTTAATCTGATTGGCATAATTAGAGATGCACCAATAATAAAAGTCTGACTAATATAGATAAGATGATAAATGCTTAAAAGTTATGGCTGATAACTAATAAATTGACCATATTAAAATAATGTACTATGTTGTTTAAATAAGTTAAAAATAAAACATTAAAAACTAAAATCAGTAATTTTAAGTGTGGATTTATAACAATATAATATACAACATGAAAAATGGATTTTGAGATTTGCAAGATTTACATTTATGAAATGTTCTTAAATTATTGATGTTTTTAAACATTAAGCAAGATGACAGCAAAGGTAATCTAAACCTAAAAAGCAGGAAATGACTATTCACAATTTTATATACAGTCTGTAACTTTACAGTTTATAACTTCTGCCCTGAAAAGCCACCTGAGTGAATAATCATAGATTGTTTTCCATGTTAATGTTTGTTTATTTTCTCTTCAAGCCTTGCAGCTCCAGTCAGACCATTGCGTTGATCCTGGAATCCCAGTCAACGGTCAGCGGCACGGCAATGATTTCTATGTGGGGGCGCTGGTGACGTTCAGTTGCGAAGCAGGATACACCCTCAGTGACCATGAGCCTCTTGAGTGTGAACCTAACTTCCAATGGAGTCGCCCTCTGCCCAGCTGTGATGGTACGGTCCACTCTATACCTACTAAAATGGTCACCGCCTGGGAAAAGGACACATTTGAGATAGGACATTATTTTAAATGACATAATCGCTCCCAGACTGGAATGGTCTTTACGGTTTGAAGCTACCCTTTCTGCTCTCTTCACCTATTCCACAAGGCTTTGAATATTTAAGGCCATTATTGATTTGTCCCCTTGGGTAATGGTAGGAATTATTCACCTCCATATGTTGATGTCCTTCAGAAGGGCACTTTCTGTAAAATTTCTTTCAGTAGGATTGTGCTCAGTGTTTTGACAAATAGTCAAAATAGTCAAGTTTATCTTTTTCTCTTTCCTCTAGCTCTTTGTGGCGGGTTTATTCAGGGGAACAGCGGCACTATTCTGTCCCCTGGGTTCCCTGACTTCTACCCCCATAACCTCAACTGTACGTGGATGATTGAGACTTCACATGGTAAAGGTGAGGCCACTTTTTGAAGCTGGTTCTTTCTTTGACAGGTATAGACAGTCTTTTTAAATGAAAGACAAACAATAATGTCTTTATGTCTTTAGTGAACACACATTATAAACAGCATGAGATTCAAAAAGTATGGATTTAATAACTGGTTGACTCTCTGGCAGCTGTAGCCTCCTCCAAATGGTTTTTGTAATTGTAGATCAGACCTGAACAACAGTCAGGAGAAATTTGCACCATTTCTCTTTACAGAATTGATTCAGTTCAACTATGGCATGAATCAATCTCTCATGAAATCATACCAAATCCATTTGAAGTCAGGACTACATACATTTTTTCTGTCATTGATGACAAGCGGTTCAGGGCCAGAGGCATTAAAGGGATAGTTCACCCGAAAATGTTCTAAACCCGTAAGATCTTCAATCATCTTCGGAACACAAATTAAGATATTTTTGATGAAATCCGAGAGATTTCTAATTCTGACCCTCAATAGACAGCAATAGAACTACCACGTTCAAGGCCCAGAAAGGTAGTAAGGACATTGTTCAAATAGTCCATCAGTGGTTCGACCTTAATTTTATGAAGCTACGAGAATACATTTTTGGGTGAACTAACCCCAACAAATCATGATGGACCACCATACTTTAATTTCAAAGTCTTCTTTTCACTCTTGTTTGACCTATCCACTGAGGAACTTTCACATGCTCTCGTGGACTTCAGAAACACGGCAATGTTTCTTCTTCCATTGTTTTTGTTTATCGTTTTATGCATCATAATCACTTTGATAGAAATGTTAGCATGTTCCAGATATTTCTGTAAGTCTTTAGCTGACACTCTAGGATTCTTCTTGCTAGACGCCCACTCAGGAAGAGAAGCCGAGCTCTTCTTGCCATCAACTGATAAACATCAAGGCTTTCAGAGATGCTTTTCGAACCTTTTCTAGCTTTATGCAAGTCAACAATCCTTAATCTTTGGCGTTCAGAGACCTCTTTTGTTTGGGATGCAGTTCACATGAGGCAGTGCTTCTTTTGAATAGAAAACTCCAAAATTGAGCATTTATTTTTTATATAGTACAGGGCAGCTTTGACTAACATCTTCAATCTCACCTAACTGACTGAACACAGCTGAAGCCAACTTTTGGAGAAATCATTAGCCTAGGGATTCATATGCTTTTTCCACCCTGCGCTGTGAGTGTTTACATGGTGTGTTCAGTACAGAGTCATTGTTTGTGCCTTTTGTCTGTTGTGATAATTTTAGCACCAGAAATCCGGTCAAATCTGAAGATTTGACATATGTCTTCCTGCAGTTATTTGTGACTGAAGCATTTGTGAACTCTTAAACAGTTTACGTATCTACATCCAGTGTTTTTCTCCTTCTCTCAATCTCTGCAGGTGTCCAGTTTATCTTTCACACCTTTCACTTGGAGAGTCCACACGACCACCTTTTAGTCACAGAAAATGGTAGTTTCTCTCAGCCCCTGTGGAGATTGACCGGGTCTACACTGCCACCCCTTCTCAGCGCTGGACTTTTTGGCAACTACACCGCTCAGATCCGTTTCCTCTCAGACTTCTCTGTGTCCTATGAGGGCTTTAACATCACTTTTTCAGGTAGAGACCTTTGTACAGTAGCTTAAACCACATGACATTTATAACAGAAGAAGCTACAAAATATCAATCCTCCTTCTGTTCCCTTCAGAATACGATCTGGAGCCTTGCGAAGATCCCGGCGTCCCCCCCTTCAGCACTCGTAAGGGGCTGCAATTCGGGGTGGGGGATGCGATTATCTTTTCCTGTTTTCCGGGGTACCGTCTCGAGGGGCCTGCGAGGGTGGTGTGTCTAGGGGGGCGTCGACGGGTTTGGAGTTCCCCTCTGCCAAGGTGTGTTGGTAGGTGGTCACATGCTTTTCATTTTGCTTTGTTTGCAAATTTTACCACATATTTCCCCTCATGTGCTCAGACATGCATGCACATATGCTGATGTTAAAGGCTAAAGCAGCCCCCATTTCAGAGTTCTGCTCGATATGAGACGGGAAGAAAAAGGTTATGACTCACCATCTAGAAGAAAAAAAAATAAAGAGCACCAGCTCCAAATTCTATCTAATGCTTAAGCAGCATTAATATAATGGTAGATATCAGCATATAAGTATCTTGGAGACCAGACTTCTTCATTTTAATATGTGCTGCAATGGCTTAGATGCTAAATTTAGAATGTAATTTTTTTTTACATTATGATTTTGACATTCCGGTTAAAGCAAGTAATTAGGTATTATGTATTTTCTGCAGCAGTATCTGGCTTATCCTTGCTTCATATTTGTTTACCAGTTTTGTGGAACTAGGTCAGCTCATTTGTAAACATATGTTTGTTTATTTGTCAATGTGCTTGTATTTAAACTTATTTAAATAAATAACATTTGATTTACTTCACTTAAGGTCTGTTGGGTATGTCAGTTATTATTATTGAATTTATTTATTTTTCAAAAAAACATCATCCAGAAAACCCCCAATATTTTTCTCAATAATGTTATTTGAGAAATATTATGTTGTTTCTAGGGATGCATGACATATCAGTTATTGTCTGATTTTAGAGATTTTTATTTATTTTTCAGAATATTTAATTACCTCTTTTTTAGATTACCTTTGCACTCACTTAAAATTAATCTTTAAATACAACAGGTTAATAAATCTTAATTGTGATATTTAGAAATTCTCAAAATTGCGATGCAATGTCTAAATTCACGTGTAGCATTTAAAACAATTAATGCATTGGTTATAATCCGTAATATCATAATAATGATTAACTTATAGGTATCGTCCAGAATTGCAATAGTGTTGCATCGGTTGTATTAAATAGTCGGTTGTATTAAATTATTAGCGTCTGAACAGACCTGTGATCCAGGCAGTGTTGTCATTGTCAAAAAGTTCAGTTTTGCTTCAGCTTTTAATTTGTGTAGTTCAATAACCTAGCATAAATTGACTTGCACTCATTCACAAACACACACCACCCCCTGACTGCCAGCATGAGTGTATAAAGTGTGCTTGTGTTTATGCTGAGATCATGGGTCATTTGTCAGAGGTCATTTGACTTCTTACTTCCCTTGCTGCAGCTGAATGTGGATCGTCTGTAACTGGGAAACAAGGAGTTTTACTCTCTCCCAACTACCCTGGTTACTATGGTAACAACCATGAGTGCATCTACTCCATCCAAACCCAACCCGGTAAAGGGATCCAGCTCCGAGCGCGGGATTTCCGCCTGGAGGAAGACGACATGCTTAAGGTCTTTGTGACATAGTGTGTATTTGTGCCTGTGTGTAATGTTGGTTTGTAAATTATTTGATGACTGTATGTGACTGTTTTGTGTGTGTTTCAGGTGTATGATGGTAGCAGTAACAGTGCCAGACTGCTGGGCACCTTCACAGGCACAGAGATGATGGATGTCACTCTAAACAGTACATCCAGCACTATGTGGCTGGAGTTCATTAGCAACAGTGACAATACCAGCAAAGGTTTTGAGCTGCACTTCTCCAGTGAGTAGCACACTGACTCCTTGCAGCCATTGCACAGCAGTACATGCATTTGTGTGTAGATAGATAGATAGACCGGTTTTGAAGGACACACTCTTTTTCCTGTCTTTTTTGCAGGTTTTGAGTTGGTGAAGTGTGAGGACCCAGGTGTGCCTCAGTATGGTTTTAAACGGGAGGACAAAGGTCACTTCGCAGGCAGCACAGTGTCATATAGCTGTGATCCTGGCTACACTTTAAAGGGCCCGGAGGTTTTGACATGTCTCAGAGGGGAGAGGAGAGCATGGGACAGCCCACTCCCACTGTGTGTCGGTAAGACGTTACTGAATACTCATTCACACTGCCTTATCTAAAAGAGCCTATACCTGTAGGGACAACATTTCTAATACGATATCTTTAAAAATGTTGATATTCAGTACCGTTTTCGATACCATGGGGAAAAATTTACTTTTTTTTTAATTAAAAGATAAATATAGTAAGGCTAGAACTTGATATATATTTTTTTACCAAAATAGGGTTGTGTGAGCATTATGGAATGCTGGAATATTGGAAGCCAGATGATGCCCTCACACAAATAATATAATTTATGACGTTCCAGGAAATCCTAATTACCTTATTTTATCACAAAGTTTAATTCTGCCACATGGTCTTGTATGATATACTCTTCATGAATTTGCTTCATGAAGAGTATATACTCTTCAAGAACTTGCTTCATGAATATAATCCCCCAAAGCAGAGAGGGGTCGATTAATTCAAGCACTCCTCTTTTTTTCTCTTCTTCATGTCTACATCTTCTTCCACCCACTCTTATACACAGCCTGGGTTCTCCTCAATATGAGTTTACCACAGACCCACTTTTCAAAGTGTTTGAATTATGATGTTTCCCCACCTGAGCCTATGGAGACCTTTAGGCAATATTGAAATGCCCATATTGAGAGGAGAAATGGAACTGTAAAGGCATGAGCAAATATTTTTCATCCGCCACAACAGGAAACTAACTCGTACTGTAGAAAACAGAGGGTGGACAGTGAGAAATGAGAAGTTGGTGAGAGTACGAGAAAGGAGGGAGGGGAGGACAGAGCAAAAGAGAATGAGAGAGCAAGAAATGTAGTTTTATGACTTACGAAGCAGGTCATCTCAGGAGTTGAAGAAGATGGGTTTGTTTCATCGTGATTTATGGCTCTGCTGTTCACTATGGGAACATTCGTCAGAACCAAATTCATATAAGATGAAAAAACTGCACAAAAAAAGAGTAAGAAAGACAGATGAAAATAAAGTAAAATAAAATAAATAAATATCTTGCAGTATATAAACCTCAACATTTGAGATTAACACAAGAAAAAAAAACTGTAAGGGAAACAGGTCAATTTAGCTCAAAGGGAATCATTTAAGATTTTAAAGGGAACTCCACCATTAATATGTAAGGGAATTAGGACAGAATCACTGTTTTACGGCTGATCACTGAGACAGCCAGCGATTCAGTGAACGAGCCGTATGACATCAATTCTGCAATGGATATTTATATCCAAAATATAGTGAAAACACTATTAATTAGCATATGTAACAAGATCGGCAGTTTAAGACATTAACTTGTGAGCACAAAACACGAGATACTTCTCTTTTCAATATAAATAAGGCTTTATTGGATATGGAATGCTGGAATATTGGAAGCCAGATGATGCCCTCACACAAATAATATAATTTATGACGTTCCAGGAAATCCTAATTACCTTATTTTATCACAAAGTTTAATTCTGCCACATGGTCTTGTATGATATACTCTTCATGAATTTGCTTCATGAAGAGTATATACTCTTCAAGAACTTGCTTCATGAATATAATCCCCCAAAGCAGAGAGGGGTCGATTAATTCAAGCACTCCTCTTTTTTTCTCTTCTTCATGTCTACATCTTCTTCCACCCACTCTTATACACAGCCTGGGTTCTCCTCAATATGAGTTTACCACAGACCCACTTTTCAAAGTGTTTGAATTATGATGTTTCCCCACCTGAGCCTATGGAGACCTTTAGGCAATATTGAAATGCCCATATTGAGAGGAGAAATGGAACTGTAAAGGCATGAGCAAATATTTTTCATCCGCCACAACAGGAAACTAACTCGTACTGTAGAAAACAGAGGGTGGACAGTGAGAAATGAGAAGTTGGTGAGAGTACGAGAAAGGAGGGAGGGGAGGACAGAGCAAAAGAGAATGAGAGAGCAAGAAATGTAGTTTTATGACTTACGAAGCAGGTCATCTCAGGAGTTGAAGAAGATGGGTTTGTTTCATCGTGATTTATGGCTCTGCTGTTCACTATGGGAACATTCGTCAGAACCAAATTCATATAAGATGAAAAAACTGCACAAAAAAAGAGTAAGAAAGACAGATGAAAATAAAGTAAAATAAAATAAATAAATATCTTGCAGTATATAAACCTCAACATTTGAGATTAACACAAGAAAAAAAAACTGTAAGGGAAACAGGTCAATTTAGCTCAAAGGGAATCATTTAAGATTTTAAAGGGAACTCCACCATTAATATGTAAGGGAATTAGGACAGAATCACTGTTTTACGGCTGATCACTGAGACAGCCAGCGATTCAGTGAACGAGCCGTATGACATCAATTCTGCAATGGATATTTATATCCAAAATATAGTGAAAACACTATTAATTAGCATATGTAACAAGATCGGCAGTTTAAGACATTAACTTGTGAGCACCAGACACAAAAAGCTAAAAGCTAGACACAAAAATTCAGACCCAAAAAAAAGAAAGCAACTAAGTTTGATGGTGTTTCTAGTATTTAAACCGGGCTGTTTATCTTAGATTGTCTGATTCGGTCTGATATCCTAAGAAACATACCAATACAAAAGTAGTGATTAAGAAAAAAATTCAATGCAATAAGATTCTCACACCACTTTATTTAAGTATTTATTTATTTTCCCTTTTCTCTTACTTTCTCTTTTGCATTCAACAATTCATTTTTTTTTCTATGTGCACTACCAGCAGAAAAGATCAAAAGTGTCTCTGTGTCTATGATTACACCTTTCAGCATGTATAACAATGGCTTGCGAGGCTGAACTGTGCATTTGAACACATTGACTTGCGTGCTGTGACATGAATATCTCACATGACTACAAACACCAGCCACCATGTAATTTGTGTCATTGCTTGTCCGAGACTCAAGGAGAGATGTGTGTAGGGAAAGTGTCTGGAACAAATGTGTGAAATGCCCTTCCACTGGCTTGAATGATGTAAAATTGTACTTTGCTATACTTCAGTGCTGTTTTTGGAAAGTAGTCACTGTTTTACAGATTACTATTGATCAATACTTGTATTCTTAACATTTTGTACGGAGGGGAAAAAGACTTTATTTCGTACTATTGCTTTTTTTTTCAAAGTTTCAAAGCTTCAGAATGTCCAATTTGTCCTTTCGAAATGGCATTGTCTACAATTAACTATATACAAATAAAGTAAAATGACAGTCTAAATAAAATAAAAATATAAAATAAAATAAAAATATTAAATGCATATGATATCAGATAATTATGAATTTAAAAATATCAAAAAACAGGTTCTGGGATATTAAAATTTCTAAATATTTTGTGTGGTAGAGCCAAATTGTTAAAACAGATTACTCCTCTGTTTTCATGAAAAGTTTAACATTTGTGAGTAAACCGGTTTGTTTTGCATTTTAATAAACTGACTAAATCGGTTGCTTTATAAAATGTATGCACTTTTGTTTAATTGCCCTGTGTTTTTTAGGCTATCTCTCTGGATACCTATCAAAACTCAAAAACATTATTAGTTGTATATGTACTGTATAAAGTATATTGTAAATATACTGTATATACACAGTCTATCGGGCAGCTCCTCATATATAATCCAATTATGCTTGAACGCATCAGGTTTGAATTAGATTTTGAAATCACATTTTCAATGTGGACTACAAATATGAATGAATGCCAATAACAAAAACATTTCAGTAGGGCACACGCATTTGATCTCTGGGATGACAATGGCAGGGGTTGGATATAACACTCTTATGACTTCCTGATCCGTGAAACTGGAACTGTCACACGCACTGGCCCCATCCTCCTGACAAACAAGTGATTTGTACCCCTGCTGCCCACCACTACTGCCCCAGTGTAAGATGGATAGTCATGTCTGGGGCAGGACATATTACCAACACTATCAGTGATATTAGCCGAAGGAAATATGCCCTCCCCAGGGAAGGCTTAATCCTGGAGGTGATATACGGCCATATTATTCTGCTCATCACTCATAAAGCTCTGCTCAGTGCTGAGTGTATTCTTTTAAAGTGGAAAGTTATACGCGTCCCTGCCACCTGATGATGCATCACTGCACAGCACACTGTGTACCATCCTTGCTTCAGGGATTTAGATACGAATCCAGAATCCCTTACAGAAGCGGACATGTCACTTAAAGGCACTTTATATATACTTATATATTGATTTTAAGTTTTCAACTGTGGGAATATTTATACCCAAGACCTGAAATGTTTGTCCACATTGAAAATGTGATTTCAAAATCTAATTCAAACCTAATGTAAACTAAACAAGTATATTATATTATATTATTTAAAACATTTATTTATTTTAAATAAATATTTATTAAAATTGTACAATAAAAGCATTCACTAGTGGTCTCCGACTTTTGGACTCAGCTGTGTTTGTTTCATGTCTTTTTGTAGAAGATGTACTGTTTTGTGCTGCAGTGTTGTGAGCTGTCATTGAAGGATTGTGCCTTTGTTTATCTCTTTCTTCACCCAGCCGAGTGTGGAGGAACGATTAAAGATGAGCCCATGGGCCGGATTCTGTCTCCTGGTTACCCAGCGCCTTATGAGCACAACTTGCACTGTGTCTGGACCATTGAGGCGACACTTGGAAGCACCATCGGGTGGGTATCTGCTTTTCCATTACCCTCCTTCTCACCATCTGTCTCTTCTGTTTTGCTTTTGATATCTTCATCTACCGCTAAATGTAACTTCCATCCAATATCTTCGACCTTGCTGTCGATCCCAAGCTCTAGAAACGTCCTTAATTGGGTCATTGGGTCATGAAAGAAGTACCGTTATGGTACTCCTTATATATATAGTACCATAGTGGGTGTTTACTATCTACTGTAAATGGAGACATTCCCGTAGACTTCTGTTGTTTTTATATACAGCTAGTTAATAATAACCCTAACTCATACCCGGACTTGCTGTGTTTTTACAAATGAGGACATCCGCAAAAGAAAGTTTTGCTAGATTTAGCTCACTTCTGGCTACACAGTTGTCCCCCAAATATGATTAAATGGGTACATACACACTTTGCATTGTATATAATATATCTATTTTTAATATATGTATAATACTATATATTAAAATAAAACACTAATATTTAACAATTTAACCAATTTGAACATTTTAAACAGCATGGCGTTTGACTGACATTTGACCTTTCAGAAGAAGCAAGTTCTGGCATTTAACATTCATATATCAGAAGTCATAATCGAATGCTATTGATTAGACCATTACCTCGAAAGAGTAGCTGCCATTTTGTTTTGAAATGTCCAAATTTAGTTATTCCTGCATAATAACTGGTATTCATTTAGGTTATGATGACACAATGCCATTTATTAATATTCTATCAAGACATTTCTTGTTTACTTTCCAAATTGGAAAACAATGGAAGCCTCTTTCTGCCACTGAATAATAATAATAATAATAATAATAATAATAATAATAAAAGTTTACATCTCGCAAATCAGAATTTTTATTTTTATTTTCCCAGAATTGCTAGTTATAAAGTCTGAATTGTGGCCTGACTTTTTCCCCTCAAAACTGCACTTTGTAACTCACAATTGCAATTTTATATCTCACAATTCTGAGAAAATAAGTCAGAGTTGCAGAATATAAACTCAGAATTTCAAGAACAAAAGTCCGAATTACGAGATATATACTCTCAATTACGAGGAAAAAGGTCAGAATTTGTAGTTATCTTTTAGTGTTTTTTTTCCCCCTCGTGATGGAAACAAGCCTCCAGAAAACAAACCCATTTGTTCAAATGACTCGGTATGTCCATCCTTCTTATGCTGTGTCCCACCACTCTTGCCATACTCTGGCTAATTGGTTTGATGGTATATTTGTCAGCTCTCGCCTTGAGTGTAGATTGGCTGGCAAGCCGAGCTCTAGCTCCATGCATGCCAGTATTGTTCATCGTGCTGTCACAGTCAGCACGACTCAGAGAAGCTAGGAGGACATTAGCACTTTGGCAGTCCTACAGGCTGACCTCTTCCCTTCCCCAGCAAATCGCTCCCTTTCGCACTAATGAATGAACATGCCCCCTTGTTAATTGCCGCTCGTTTCGCCAGCGCAATTTTGCATGAAATCTCGCAGCCGAGCTCTGCCTAATTTGTCCGGCCCTTTAATTGTGCTGTTTATCAGATGCTTTCCCCGCCCTTCATCTAGACATGTTAAGAGCTCCCAGACACTGCTTTCTTGCTGTGTTAAAGTGGTTTGAAATTGACATTTGACAAGGTGCCTTGAAGATGTGAAGAGCTTAATCAAATTTGCCTTTTATCCTGTGTTCTTTGCGTCCATAAATAGTTGGAAATGAGCAATGAGGTGAGTGTAATTATATCATAAGGGTTATTGAGCATCTAATATTGGTACACCCCTCCAGATACTTGCGCCAGACGAGCAGGCCACATGTAATAATTGAGGTCACCTGTCTTTTTTTTGTAATTTAATACAGTATACAGTTTGATACTCAGATGTTGCCTGCTTAAAGCTTGTACTTAGTCAGTGTCATGTAAACATTGATGCAATCATGGCCATAAAAGGCCATGTGATTACAGTGTACTTAAGCACATTGTGAAGCAAAGTGCCTAAAACTCCTCCTAACCCCCAAAGCACTGTAACAATTAGCCTCTCATGGGTTATTATATATGAAACATTCATTCACATATATATTTAATGCATTTTAAAAGTTTGGGTCAGTCAGTCAGATTGATTGATTATTTATTGATTGTTTATTTATTTAAGTTCATTATGCTCACCAATACTGCATTTATTTGATAATAATAGTAATACTACTAAATAGTATTACAATTTAAAATAATGGTTTTATATAGTAATATATTTAAATAAAATAATAATAAAATAAACATAACATCACATGCACAGTCAGGTTTGCCTTTATTGGCTGACAGCCACATGTAGGACGACATGAAGACATCAGAAGTTTTTACCACTGAAATCTGTAAACACTAAAAGTAAACATAGCTGAGCTTGAGAGTGTTTACGTGTGTGTGAGTTATTAAAAATATTATTAGATGGAAGTCGTGTTTCAATACTGTGAACCGTAAGCTGCAGAAAACTCCACACCTTCCTCTTCCCTTCTGATAAAATTATATAATTTTTAAAAAAGCCTGTTGGCGACAGTAAACAGCTGTTACAGTGTGTATTTGCATGTGATGTGCTGTTTATTCATGCATCTTTAGTACATGTATCTTTACATGACCACATATGAGTATTGCAGGTCAAATAATGAGGTTTTTATCCTCTTGCTCTACTGCATGTGTGTTTATTAGATCCCCTTCCACAGGCACAGGATAATTAATAGCTTGGGTTCCTTCCAGTCTCAGACCTAGTTCCCCACTGTAAGGTATGCACATGCATTTCTTTGATCTCATCTTGAGCAATCAATTATTCAAGATCATTTGCAATGCATTAGGATTGGGATGATGTCTTGTAGGACTCTGTTAAGGCAGTATTCAGAATATGCTGTCCAAAAAGATGGAAGGGAGCTAGAGATGGTTTAAGCAGAGAGGACAGCTGTCCCTAGGGGTCAAGTAGTCCCTGCTATGACCAAAATGACAGCCCTGTATGACAGCCATTTTAGGAAGAAGTGTACAAAGAAGTTTCTTATGTTTAACAAGGCTGCATTTATTTGAATTAATAAATAAATCATGAAAAAAACAATAATGTTGAGAAATATTATTTCAATTTAATTATAATATAATTATAATTTTCTGGTTTTACATATTTAAAATTTCTTTAAAATTCTAATTTATTCCTGTGATGGTCATTACTCCAGTCTTCAGTGTCACATGATCCTTTAGAAATATTTGATTAATCAAAAGTTCAGAAGCACAGCTTTTATTTGAAATATAAATCTTTTGTAACATTATAAATGTCTTTATTGTCACTTTTGATCAATGTTACTGACAAAGCCTGCTGAAGTATTAATTTCTTTAAAAATAAACAAAAAAAACATACTGCCCCCAAATTTTTAAACGGTAGTGTATGTATATATAAATAATTGTTTATTTTATTTACTTATTTATTTATTTTTAGATACAGTATATGTTTTATTTTATTTTTACTTTATACTTGAAAACAATTCTATAAATCTACAAATTTATTTTTTAACCTATTTTTTTGGCATGATGTCAAACTAAAATCGCTGTCGTTAAGCACCATCTGCAACACACTTTGGAGTGTACACTATATTTTTCAGCTAGATGGATTATTTTTAAATTGAATAGACCACAGTATAAACACCATATATCTTTATATAATGGGTGATACATTTGAACTGTCACAGGGTGTATTCTGTGATACCTCTCTGCCCCAGTTGTCCTGTCCTGGTAGACTTCCTTATCCAGAGGGGCTGATGGAAAAGTCTAACTGTGGAGACATAAAAGGATGAGTAAGGGTGGACTGGGATGTGTGTATGATGTGTCAGGATGCTGAGGGGGAGGGACACACTTTGGGGTTTCATGTGGCGGGGGTGCAGGCGATATGTCATCGTTCTTTCATCACAGACACTTCCCTACATCTGAGATGCCTTTGTTTGGCAAAGGTGATAATTACTTTCAGCAGCCACTTCACACACACACACACACGCACGCACATAGAGACAGATATACTGCCTAGCCCCAAATGTTCTCATCCACGTGGGATTAGATATCGGTTAAGCCTGCTGTTCCAGAGCCGGTTTGGAACATTCGAGTTGAAGCTCAAAGGATCGTACTGTCACGCTCAAGGCTCATCTGCAGTCACGAAAGAAATTTGAGGAATTAACGGAAGCTGGGGTCCCTCTTCCCTCCTTCCCTATGCTGTTGTTTTATCAACCTCTTTTTCTCTTCCTCCAAAGCCTTCAAGTCATACATTAACTCTGTTCACTTCTCACTTCTGTCCCATCTTGTCAAAGTTTACTTTTTTTTTTAACTTCTCTTGTTCTATTCCTTTTTATTTCCACACTCTTCTCTATTTCTTTTCCTGCGGTCTGTTCTTACGTTTGCACCAGAAGTGACATCAACTCGATTGATGGCTGGTCTATTTTATTTTATTTTATTTTTATATTAATTTATTTTGATTATGGTGAATTAAAATGACTTGCAGGGCTATTACATTATTTCTTAAATGTTCTTATTTTTTTCTTTTTTATTACATTTAGTTTATTGTTGTTGTTAGTTAGTTTTTTTTTTTTTTCTACGTCTGATAAATAACACGTTTCACTGAGAAACACAAGTTCCCTTTCAAGGGAACTTGAACTGCGTCCTCTAGGGGACGCTATGGGGAACGCCTCGTTGTGACCCGTGTCTGAAGCATACATTCGCTGTGTCTCATTTAGAAGGCTGCACCCTCCGGAGGTCGCATTTGAAGGCTGCATACGTCATCGAGGCTGTCTCATTTCAGAAAAGCAAGTAGGACACTCCGAATGCGATCTTCGAATGCGACCTCCTTTCACAGGATTTTGGAGGATGCATGAGGTATATCCTTGCTGCTACAGATAACCCACAATTCTTTGCGTCGCCGTGAACAACCGTTGTTAATTTGAAAAATGCCGGCGCCGGCAGAGTAACGTACACACAAGCGCCGATGTGGTGTTTACAACTTACCTTAA